GAATATTATAGTTACGAACCACACGATAAGTACAAGAAACTGAGTTCTGTAGTCGGCAGCGCTCGTAGCAGAGTGGGTAAGGTACTGGACTTATGTGCAGGAGGTCGAGGGTTCAAATCTCTTGGTTGGAAAATGTTTTTTTTTTTTTAGAATTGTAAAAGAAAAAATTCAAAGTGGAATAAAAATTATTGTGAGAAAATAAAACTAATTAGGTGTGTGAGGGGGAATAGTGGGCAAAGGTATGCAGAAAAGGAACACGGCACGGTTGGCAGATATAGATATATGGTGGGGAGAGGGGAAGTATTTAGAGAACAGTAGGTGAGGGGAAAGGGGGGAGACTTGAGAGGAAGAGACTTCGGGTGAAACCACTTTCGTTTAAAAAAAAAAAAAATCTGTCGGTTTTAAAATTTCAGCCCCCCGAGTGACGTGACATAAAGAACTTCGTTCTAAAAAAGCAGAATTGAATCGATTTTTATGGAGGTAAAATTTAAAAATAGGTTGATTATGCAAGGATCTCGAATCCGTAAGTAAATTGTTTCATATTCGCTCCGAGCCGATGCAGAGGTTGCGCCCCTTCTAGCCAAAATCAGGCAACATTTCTTGCATGTAAACAAACGGTTTAGAACATATATACATACGTACAGCTCCTTGTGATTGGCACTTGGCAAGCTAGAGAGAGAACGACGATCCTCTCCTGCTGTCTTATTCAGCCAATCACAAGCAGCTATACGTATGTATATATGTTCTAAACCGTTTGTTTACATGCAAGAAATTTTGCCTGATTTCGGCTAGAGAGGGCGCAACCTCTGTATCGGCTCGGAGCGAATACTGGGTATGGTAACATGAATCACATCATCATCAGAATTAGCGCATGTGCAAGATTTGTCTTGCGCGCCCATGCCCTCCCCTCCCCATCTTTCTGCTTAAAGAAGAGGGAGCTGCTGCTCGCTTGTTCTCTGCTGGCGCGAGCGAACTGATTTTGCGAGTAGAGCCAACGTGTGTGCACGCCTTGACCTCCTGCTTCGCTGGGGACTCTCGAACCGGACCTCCACGTGGATCTGCCTACTCTAAAATATCTGTTACGGCTGATCTGCTGATCTTGTATTTACTCGACGTCCTCATAAAGAATAGCTTAAACATTGGTCCTTCGAGCCGGATAGCGTGACTGGGACAGACAACCGCCAGAACCTCATCGAGCCCAGGACAGCCAGGAACATGGTGCTACGCGAAGCAATGTAAGTAGGACGATGTGAGATGCGATCATGCGAAAATACATTCTCTACGTCCGAGAACGTATCGAGACATTGGGCCTCTGTTGCAAGAGATGCAATCGTGCAGAGCCGCGCCACGTGGTAGAGCGATTTGAGGTTATGATAGCCTTAACAAGATATGACAGGGGAGAGACGCTTCACCGCGACTGCCGTGCTGTCCGCGTCGTGGACCTCGCGTGCGATCGCGATTACTCAGTCAGTGAGGCTGTCGAGAGGTTTTGGGTTGCAGATTGCAGGCTGCTTCATGTTTAAACCGCGGGATTTACTAGTTCACGTCATCCCGCGGCTGGTCGGGTCGACAGATTTATTTGCGATTCCTCACGCCCTTTTTCTCAATATTCTACGTAGACTCATTTGGCACGCACGATTGCACCACAAATAACAAGGCGCCGTTTGAGAGACAAGCGTCGAGCTCAGCGTGTGACTAATTTACAGGGATAACGAAGGCTGGCCCTCGTTGCTGAAAACGCAGCAAGCCCTGCTAGAGGTTCTTGCGGAATTTACTCAATCCGCCAAGAGCTTCGAAGTATGGAGCATGGGTCTCGTCGACGTCAGGTTCAAGCTACTTGCTGATTATTGGAATGACTTCCAAGCCAATCATAAGGATCTGATTCAGGGCGCACCTGTTAACAAAGTTGCCTCCTTGAGAGCCCTGTACAGGTCCGCAGAGGGATACTACCTCGACGCTAAGGCGTGCCTGTATGACGCTAGGAGTCGGCTGTTCCCGATCATGCCAGGAGGTGGTGGCCAGTCACCGCTCCCCGAACCGCTCCCTGGACCGCACTCGGGCTCTCGCCTGCCGAGCATCAATATCCCGCTCTTCTCTGGCCCTCGCGAGGATTGGCAGTCTTTCCGCGACCTGTTCCAGGCGCTCATTCACCAGGATGCTCGGCTCACCGACGTCGAGAGGCTTTACTACCTAAAGACAAACGTGCAGGGTGAGGCAAAAGCAGTTTTGGACACCTTGCAGCTCGTTGGCTCCAATTATTCCACTGCCTGGAGTCTTCTTGTCTCGCGGTTCGAGCATCGCCGCCTCCTTGTGCAGGACCACGTCATGGCACTGCGAACGCTCAAGCCTCTGCGCGAGGAGTCCGCTGCTGGTCTGCAGGGCTTGCTCGATGCCTTAGAAAAGCACCGTGATCAACTGCGAGTGCTCAATCAGCCGGTGGAACATTGGGATGTGTGGATGGTCTCTTTTGCCTCGACCGCCATGGACCCCTCGACTCGGAGAGCCTGGGAAGACGAGCTCGAGAAGTTGGAGACAGCCAGCTCTGCACAAAGGGAAGCAGCCTCCTTCGCCACTTTGTCCAGCTTTCTTCGGAGGCGCGGCCGCTCACTGACTTCAATGGAAGCCTCGCGCCCTCCCCGATCAACGAACGATCCTGTACGCTCGACCGGCAGTCGCCCTTCCGCGCCGACGCCACTCAGCCGCAACCACCGATCTTTAGCCACCCACGTAGTCAACGATGACTGCCCTGCTTGCCACGCACCGCACAACGTAGGTCACTGCAGCCGTTTCCTGGAACTGGACGCCCTTGGGCGAAGGGGTCTCGTCGCTCAGCACAAGCTGTGCTTTAACTGCCTGAAGCCGGGCCACATGGCAACTGTCTGCCCTTCCCAAGGCGTATGCTAATATTGCAAGGCGCGGCATCACAGCCTCATCCATGATGGCGGTCGCAAGCGCAGGGCCGCGCCCGACCCAGCACCAGCTGAGGCAAAGCAGTGTCTCTTCACCTCGGACTCCAAGGACGGGATCGACGCGGCAGCTGCTTCACCGTTGTGACTAGCCGTCTTGCCCACGCTCAAGGTTCAGCTCATGGTACCCGGGGGGCGGACAGTCACAGCAAGAGCACTAGTCGACGCTTGTTCAGAGATTTCAATCACGTCCACTGCACTTGCTGGAAAGCTTGGCGCCAGTCCCGAGCCAGCCGTCACGAGCATCTCTGGCGTCGGAGGCGCTGTCTTTATGCACTCCCCAACGATTGCAAGTTTGCAGCTCCAAACCCTGAACTCAACCCGGACGTTGCGGCTGACTGCGCACTGCTTGCCCCAAATGGGACTCCGCACCCCCTCCAGACCGTTGCAACCAGCCGTCATCGAACTCTGGAACGATTTACCAGATCTTTCAGACCCGACCTTTGGAATACCGGGCGGCGTCGATATCCTACTTGGAGCCGACGTGTACCCTCATCTACTACGGCCAGGGCAGTTATTCCGTGGAGATCTTGTCGGACAGCTCACCGTTTCCGGCTGGATGCTCGCCGGTCACGTACCGGACCAAGCGACCTCGTCCTCGCCGGCTGCTTGCATGACAACACAGGACACCTCAGCTCCGCCTTGGCACGAGCAGCTAATCACACTGATGCAATGGTTTTGGGAATTGGAGGACGTGCCATGGCTTGCAACAAGACGCCACTAGTCCAACACGTATGACGATCCCTTGATTGGAGCTACGAGCGGCACTGCTCGCAACGAGGCTGCTACGCATAGTTGCCGAGGAATATGCTGTGAGCGTTGAGCACTGTCACGCCTGGAGCGACTCCCAGATCGTGCTTCACTGGCTCCGATCATCGGAGCCGACAAACAACTCATTGATCGACAATTACGTGGCTCACACCCAGGAGCTTCTGCCCTCCCACGTATGGAGATATGTTCCGACGGACTCTAACCCAGTGGATGTGGCGTCCTGGGGCACGGATCTGTTCACGCTTCAGAAAATGCGTGCTTGGTAGGAAGGCCCTTCTTGGCTCGCGGGCCCTCTTGACTTGTGGCCAGCCAAAAACGCAAAGTTGCCTAGCTCCTGCAACCCAGTCACTGACAGCGCCCTCCAATTTTGTTGTGCTGTTCAATGCACTACGCCAAATCTGCTCGAGAAGTTCTCAGACCTTGGCCGTCTCCTACGCTTCCTCGCTCGACTGCGTCGCTGGATCCGTCGTCGGCTACGTCGAGATCCCGCTCCCTCGCCTTTCACCCCTCTGACGACGATTGAGCTGCGCGATGCCTACCTCGCCTGCGTCCGCCTCAGCCAGCGACAATTCTTCGCGCTAGAGATTGCGAGCTTGCAAAAGGGCGGCCGTGTCCTTGCGAAAAGTCCACTGCTGTCTCTAGACCCGATCTTCTCTGATGACGTCCTTCGAGTTGGCGGTCGTCTCCAACATTCTGTGCTCACCTTCGATGAGCAGCATCCGCCAATCCTCGACAGCCGATGCAGCCTCGCTCGGCTCATTATCCAGTGGGCTCATGCTCGTGCTCTTCACGGAGGAGTCAGAGTCACCATCGCCTATGTGGCTCGCAAGGCCTGGATTGTTGGCGGGTGGCGGCGAATCAAAAGCATTCTCCAGAGATGCGTGGTCTGCGCCCGACTGCAGGCGCGGCCTGCCACTCAACACATGGCACCTCTACTGGCCTCACGGGTTACTCCTGCTCGAGCTTTCTCTCGCACTGGAGTTGACTACGCTGACCCATTCAACATTTTGTCTGCTAAGGGCCGAGGCATCCGCACAAACAAGGGCTACGTCGCGATCTTCGTCTGCATGACCACCAAGGCGTCACACCTTGAGCCCGTTGGCGATCTCTCTACTGAGTCATTCATTGGAGCGCTCACAAGATTCTGCGCCAGACGCGGTCGGCCCTTAGAGATCTGGAGTGATAACGCCACCTGCTTCCGCGCCGCAGACCGTGAAATGCGCGAGGCTCTCCAGGATGCCGAAATAAAGTGGGAGCGTGTTGCTGGCTCACTGGTTGAACAAGGCGTCAAGTGGCACTTCATTCCTCTACGGGCGCCCCACTTCGGCGGACTATGGGAGGCCGGTGTCAAAGCAATGAAACATCATCTCCGTCGTGCCCTTGGACCGCGCAACCTCACCTTCGAGGAGTTTCCACCGTTTTGGCCAGCATCGAGGCGGTCCTCAATAGCCGCCCTCTCACTTGATTCACCGGAGGCTTAGATGATCTGGACATCCTCACCCCTGGACACTTCCTTGTTGGTGGCCCGCTGAATTCTGTGCATGAGGCCAGTACCCCGCCCGAGAAGCTCGATCGCCTAAGTCACTGGAAGCTGGTCCAGGGAATCCGAGACCAGTTCTGGAGCCACTGGAGCCGCGAGTACTTGAACACGCTCCAACAACGACCCAAGTGGAAGGTCCCACGTCGTAATTTCCAGGTTGATGACGTCGTCGCCGTGGTGGACGCCACGCTCCTCCAGTCTAGCGGCACGTGGCTGCTCGGTCGCATCATCTCGGTTCATCCCGGACCCAACGGGCTCGCTCGCGCCGCCACCATCCAGACCGCCACTGGTGAATACACCCGTCCCATCAGCAAGCTCTCTCTACTGCCCGTCCGATCGCCTAGTGCCGGCGACGTCGCCTCCAAAGACCCTGTGGCTGAATCTGACCCAGGTACGGCGGGCGGAAACTGAGATCGTTCACGGAACGAGGCCGGCGGGTTGTGCAAGATTTGTCTTGCGCGCCCATGCCCTTCCCTCCCCCTCTTTCTGCTCAAAGAAGAGGGAGCTGCTGCTCGCTTGGTCTCTGCCAGCGCGATCGAACTGATTTTGCGAGTGGAGCCAACGTGTGTGCACGCCTCGACCTCCTGCTTCGCTGGGGACTCTCGAACCGGACCTCCACGTCGATCTGCCTACTCTAAGATATCTGTTACGGCTGATCTGCCGATCTTTTATTTACTCGACGTCCTAATAAAGAATAGTGTAAACAGCGCATGTATTAAAAATTGATAAATCATACTCGGATCGGCCCTGATTGCCACGATTATTGGGAAGCCTACACTGCAATCTTTCTTCTAGATATAAAGATTTTTAAATTTAAAAATGGAAGCCAATAAACATAAAGCAACGTTTATGCGACGCTCGTCAAAAGGTAAAATTGATAGTGATGTGTAAGTTGGCGTAATATGGTCTGATTTTTTAACACCTAAAACAAATCTCAAAGCAGCATTTTCACATCGTGATAACTAAGTACACAAAATACCTGAGAGATCAAGGATGACACAGGAACAATATTCAAAATGTGGAAGGACTAGAGACTTTACTAAGTTTAATCTCAACGAACGAGGCAAAGAATTTTTACATCTTCGGAGCCATGCCAGTGATGCATAATTTTTTCTGGCAGCTTAAACTGAAAAGCAAGTACCTCCAAAACAATGTCTGAGTGTAGTAGTCGCTCTAGTGATCAAAGCCCAAAAATTGGAAGCCATTGTCTCCTAGTTAGAGGAATCAAATTAACTTTTGATATTGGGCAGTCTATTTTCTTTGTTAAGTTATTTAATGTCACATCTAGGTAATTCCATTGGCTTTACGGTTTCACAACTTTGTTTTCATATGAAATGAATTTTGTAGATATTTTAATTTGCTTTACTTTGTTAATTATTGAATAAAAAAATATGGTATTGGCTACAATCACAATTTAATTGTTATTTTTGACCTTTGAATAAATATTGTGAAAGTCGATAAAATTACTGTTTCCTGACGCACTGCTCTCGCTGTCCTACTTACTGGATTTGCTCTTTGTTTTGCTGTATTTTCCTTTCAAAAATTTTTTAGACAAGTTTTTTTTCACACAGGCTCAATCAGAATGCTTTTTTACGGCAAAAATCGTATATCCTGTCACTGTATTTACAAGCGATAGTCTCATGTTCCTCTTTTCCACAACTGAAGTATATACATACTGTTTGCTGTTGTATTTCTTGTTGTGTTATGGTTCGTCCAGATACTTTTTTGATGTATTCTGGCTTCTATCTTGCTATGGATTCTGACAGTGTGGTTATGAATGTACTTCGTCTTAAACAATTTGATTCTAGTCAATTCGTTCCGCATTCTACACACAAGTTGATCTCGCAAAGCCTAACTCTAATTGTCTACAAAGTGACAATTAATTGCAAGTTGTTTTAACCTTGTGACAAATTCTGCTACTGACTTACTGATCTTTTTTTTTGATCGACAGAAAGTTCACCCTTCCATCACTTTCATTGGCTTTGGAATGAAACAATCTCAAAGCAGTGTAACCAGTTCATCACAGCTTTTCTCTGCTAGCATAGCCAGTGCACAAAAGTATGGATGCTTGTAGGTGCCACTTTTCTCGCACGCTGCCTGCGTACAAATTTCGAGAACACCTAACACGTCACCTAACAGCGTGTTAGCACACTGACATGGTATTAAGCCAAGTGTCAGTTACTTCCCAGCAATCCTACTGTTTCCAACTTGATTTAGAAAATCTTTATTAACCAGTGGAGAGTGGGTGCTTAGATTCCCAAATAAGAAGTTATACTTCTATAAAATTATATGGCAAATAATATAATCATAACTATAAATTGACCTTCTATGAAACGATATTAAGTACGAAAATGGTGCAATTATTGTTAGAAAAAGTATACCTACGTTCGGAGGGTGTGTTTTTGATAAATATTTGAATATTTTATAAGTTAACTATTATAAAAATTATATACAATGCAAATAATATACATATAGGCTAGTCAGTACAAGACTGCGCTTTCATTGAATCTTCCGGTGATTTCAGAACAACTTCCTACTGCCTAGTCTGATTATATCTATAACATCACTCTTAAATCTATCACATACGATCCCACACTTATTTCTCGTCCGTATTTAATACCCAAAATATAATTCTACATAGAAAATTAAAAAAACCATCTTGTAGTGTAGCTTTCTTCACTAGAATAGTATTACATTCCAGTAAATGTCCCTTCAGGATGTTCATCACGCATAGGTTTTTTTGACAGATATTATTCAAACCATAAACGTTTATTGAAATAACGTAAAGAATATCCACAAAAATTGAGGCTTGTTTGACGGTGCCATTATTTCATACAAGGTACATTTAAGAAAATCGATATTTAACATGTAACCTTATAAGACAATAACGTTAAATGGCATTTATATAATTTGTAGGAATCTCCTAATTTTTTGGGTAAAAAGAGTACTTTTGGATAAACCTATCGAACTTTTAAATAAACCCACAAGTTGGTTTTCAAATAAATTTAGAAAGAAGGGATGAAGTGTGCGTAAAAGCCTGTGTGTAAGTACATCCACATGAGAAAAACAGTTACTAACTTTACTGCACACATAAGCATTTCTTTCACTTCTCTAAACTTTTTTCTTGGTAACTATGTGAATAACGTCCTTAAGTCACAAAATCACTGTAATCACGAGTGAAAAAATTGTAAGAGAATAAAATACAATAAAAATTAGTTTTTGTATTTGTCCAGTGCAAACAAATTTTTTTTTTTCAAGTTATACTTTTATAGGCGCATTATGCCTGAGGGTACATGAATGATTTTAGAATTTGACCTTGAGAAAAAGTGTGATGGAAATGTATTTGGCTTGATTCTTCCCTTTGCCTCGCTACGCATGACGTACTTCTGGTTTCCTCCACACTACATGACGCCACAACCACATCGCCACGCAACATATTTGAATGAAATAAATTTCATTTCTTTTTCTTTTAGCAAATTCTTGGAAAAAAAAAAGTTTCCACATAGATTTAAGCCCAGGACCTCTTGCACATGAGCCGAGGTTGTCACTCACTCTCCTATGAGAAGGCCCGGGAGAAGAACAGTGGTTACGTCTAATTGTACAGTTTGTGACCTATTTTCAATGTAAATATTCATTAACTTTTGGTTTGATTAAACATTAAATAAATAATTTATTTATTGAAATATATATTTGTGGTACACGTTTCGTTCAACAATTTATAAATTAGTGTATATTAGCAGAGCAGCTTTTATATATATTATCAAACATTAATTTTTTTAATTCACTTATCGTTAGTTTGTTCCTTTTAAAACAAATAAATAAATAATTGTTTATACAATTCTCCAAGTTTTTTTTAATTTTCATACTTAAAAAAATGAAGATTTTTTGTACTGTATAAATACAATACGTGTTTTTTATTTTGTTGTCTTTTTTTACAAATCTCAGAGAGGTGGAAGGAGCATAAATATATGCAGCAACGTTGATAATTATTTTTCTTATATGGACAAGCTTACAGACATACACGCTTTCATGCTAATTTGATCCCTTCTTTCTTGTGTTGTTAAAGAAAAAAAAATTATAGATCTATTTGAAAATGAAACAGGTTTATCAAAAAGTAATCTTTCATACAAACAAAAATTGGTGGCTCATGCAGATCTTATAAATGCAATTTTAAGTGATTTTTTTTTAAGGTTACATGTAAAATATGTAAAATTGTAAATTTTTTAAATTCAACATGTGAAAGAGGGTACATTTTAATGATCTGCAATGTTTTTAGGTATTTCTTATAGTATTTTTAGTGTACTCCTAATGCTTGAATAATATATGTCAAAAAGAACTATGTGTGATGTAAGTCCTGAAGGGACATTCACTGGCATGTACTACTATGCTATTGAAAAATGTTATAAATATGTGATGAATGTGAGCGTGACGTTACAGATGTAATTAGCGTAGGGAGTATAGGAAGTTGTTTTGAAACCATCGGAAGATTCGATCAGAGGACAATCTTGTACTGGCCAGCTGCCATATTGTTTATACTATATTGTGCCATAGTATATTATTTAAAATTGTTCAGTTGATAAATATTAAAATATTTATTGAAACCACACCCACTATCCACTGGTTTTATTTTTGAAAATTTTGATAAAATATAAAAAATTGTGTAATGTATTATTTATTTATTTTAAAAGGAACAAATTAATAATAAGAGAGTAAATATTCATTATTACATAATATAGAAGCTGCTCTGATAATATATACGTACTTCGAAATTTCCGAAACATGTACCTAAAACATATGTTTCCTTGAGTAAATTATCTATTTATTTAATGTATCACCAAACCAAATGAATTAATACGTTCTTCTCACATCTCTGAACTTTTCCACCAGTAACTATGTAAAAAACGTACTTAAGTTAAAAAATAACTTTTATTACAAATGAAAAAATAATAAGAGGATAAAACACAATAAAAATTATTTAACGTATTTGTACAGCACAAACAAATTGTTTTTAGTTTTTGAAAATTTTGACGAAAATATGAAAAATTGTATAAACAATTGTTTGTTTATTTTAAAAGTAACAAAATGAATGGTTAGTAAATAAATATTCGTTATTATATAATGTGAAAGCTGCTCTGCTAATATATACTGATTTCGAAATTTTTTAAACATGTACCTAAAGAATACATATTAGTTAAATTGAAGAAATTAGTTGGAAGAATAAATGAATGAAATTCAAAATGTGTGGTGTGGTATGGTGGGACGATGTGTGGAGTGGTGTGGTGCTATGACGTTGTGTGGTGTACTGGGGACCGGAAGTACGTCATGGGGAGTGAAGCGAAGAGGGAGAATCAAGTAATATCTACTTTCGTCACACTTTTTCTTAAGGCCAAA